AGTACAACAAAAAAAAAAAAAAAAAAAAAGGGGGGGGGGGGGGGAATGAAAAGAGAAGAAGAAACAAAAGTTAAAATAGTTATAATAGTTAGCAGTAGAGGAGATACAGAAATTCCAGCATCCCTGTACAATAAAATAGTTGTTTCTAGGTTGGGGCTTAGAAGATGTGACATCAGACTGCTTAAGAATAAACTGTTTTAGAAGCTGCTTAAGGCATATACATTTAATAGATATGTTTTTGTTTTATTCATTTCATAACACCTAGGCTCAGTATTTTCATACAGGAGCTAACCAGATTTCATTGGTAGGCAGGTATTGCTGCCCATACATCTTCCACTTTAAAGTGCTTATTAAGTAGTTACATGTAGCAAATACTTAATACTGTCCTCCTGTATTTATAGGTAGAAATGGAGATGATTGTAAGTGATCAGATCATGTGTTACCATTCTTCAGCTGAGCTGTATTAACTGGTGCATGTGAAACAGCTTTTTTTTTTTTTTTTTTTATTCAGAAGTAAAATACATTAGTTTAAACTACTCTTCTGCACACAAACACACATGCAAACATATAGTGGGCATAGGTAAAAATACATGTACATATACATTTAAACAGTTTCATGGGATGTTACCCAACCCATCACTTTTTGTTACTAGTGATCAAGACGGGACAATTTTCCCCTGCAGAATAACTGCAGGTGAGGACAAAGGGCTCTAAATGTTTTCTCAGTACCAGTCATGCACTGTAGTTTTGGCTGTAAAGTCTGATTTCTTTTGAAAACTGTTTTCTGTTTTCAAACAGAATTTTAGAAGTATCAGTATAAGCATGTAGAAATCCATTAGAAACCATTTAGGGATGGAGAAAAATTTTTCTGCCTATCGTCCCATACACAGAAGCTGTCAGTACCAGTACCGGTACCGGCTGGTGCATTTCAACCTCAGTCGGTGTTAAATCATCTGGAATGACATCTCAGGAATCAAAATCAGAAATATCTATAACTTGCATTTATTTCTTAATTTTCAGGTTGATGCTTCTTGATGGGTGTCTAGTTGAAAAATGGAAGGATCAACTAAACAAGAGATTTAAGGTAAATACAACCAAAGAAAAGAATGCTGATATTCTTGGGGAAAAGTTAAACACTTTTGTTCTACTTCATCATTGAATAACTTGCTTGACTTTCAGATATCTGTAACACTTCTGGGTATTATTATTGTCACTTCAACATTTTCATACCTCATAATTACGTGTAAGTGCAAACGAAAATTTGAAAATTTCAGTCTTGCATTTTAGGGTCTCTAAAATTTTATTTCAGTTTTATTTCTATTTCATCTGCAAACTGTCCCTAAATAGGATGGTTGGATGATCTTTGTGTGAACTCTGGCTTATTACGATAATGACCCTGGGAATTTCTCTCATGTCACAGCTAAGGCAGGTGACTGTCGGATGGATGACATGCAGATGAGTATATAGTCCACATTAGGTGAGGAAGGAAGTTAAAATCCACTGCACTGGATACGTGGGCTTTGCTGCATTAAATAGTGCAGGCTGGCGACACAGACTTCTCACCAGCTACTTCCCACTAAAGACCCACTGAAAGTGCTGGGCATCCCCTCACTGGTTTTGGGGAACATTGGAAGGAAAAGTCTGTAGTAGAGAGACCTGGGAGGCAGGAGCTTTTGGGGGCTTCAGGATAGCACTTGCTATCACCGCCTACTTGTAAACTCTCTTCTTAATGGAAAGAAAGGGTGGATCGTGACAATGTCTGACTCTTCCTCACACTTCTGGAGATCGAAGAAAGTTATTTCTGGAATTCAGAAAAGGTTTCAGAGCATTAAGGACATACTTGTATATTTATTTTACTTATGAGCTGATTGGCAATTGACAGAGAGCAGGAAACAAGATGTGTGTGTCCATCTGTAGAAGCTTTGAGATTACGGATCAGCTTCTTGCAGGAAATTGTATTTGATGCTTTTATCATTCCCTTTTCTCCTCGCTTACTCATGTAAAACCTATGTGTGGAAAAGAAAACATGCTTTAAATCTTGAAAAAATAGTTACGTTGCGATAGCAGACGATATCGTGTAGGATTTAGGAGAATACTGACATATGATTCGGTCTCTTGAAATCCCTTAGCCGTCAACTTAATGGCCTGTTCCTGGCACACAGTGTGTTTTAGTGGCCTCCTCACACTGTTTTGTCGTCTCTAATTGTGTCTTGAAACCTGTTTGGACATTCATTTCCAGACTGTCAGAGACGCATGACTGACAAACAAAATACTTCTCAAAGCCTATGTCATTCCCTCCCTCTGATGTTAATAAATTGATAATTATATTAATATCCCTCTGATATTAATAAATTAAATCCTCATTTAAACATGCTTGAGTGGGACACACCTAAATGCCTGCTAATAGTTTTTGTTGTATAAAGATACATATGATGACCCTGACTACACAAAGATAGCCAGTATGGAGCTAGGTATCACAGTGGCTTCAATGCCCATCATTCATCTCTGACGACTTGCATCCAACTTTTGTCTTGAGTTACCACTTCAAACGAATGTTTTGAGCTGCCTGTGGACCACGGAAGACAGCTGTTAACATAACCACAACGTGGCTGGTCTCTTCTTTAGCCAGGACGAAAGTCTGAGTTGCAACAGGGTCAGTGCAGAGATCCTAAATCAGAAAGCTGGAGAGCACTTCTCTTGCTCTGATCATTGCGCAAAGCCCCCAGCTTTGGAAGTTTCAGAAGAGAAAGTTCGTTAATGGAGGGGAGAGGTGAGACCCTTTCCAGGTTCTACTCTCTCCCTCACTTTCCCTAAAATAAGTATTTCTGTTCCTAGAGGTGAAAGACTGCAGTCTCTGCTGCAGTGTTGTGGATCTCTGCATATTTTGGACCGCCTAACCACTTAACCTCACTGTAAAAACCTGTTTTCTAACCACTGCACTTTCAGATTTGGAAATCTGACAGCTATTCTCTTTGGTGGGCTCGTTGATCTAATTTGCTTTTCAAAATTTCTCAGGGATGCTGCTGAATAAAGCTGCAGGCGCATTGCTCACAACCATCCCGTCGCAACACTGAGCACTCACTGTGATTTCGGTGGTCACGTCCGTTGTCTGTCCCTAACATAAACTCTTTGGTGCCCAGTCCTCTCCACCCCAGGGAAAAACGGAACCAGAAAGTAAATAACACCTTCCCTTGTAGCTGTGTGTTTAAATATATATTGTGAAAGGATAATCTGCTTTCTGCAGACTTTTCTGAGGAAAAGTCAAGTAGCGCGTTCAGTAAGACAGCAAAGAAGGGGTTTGCCAAGGAGGTCCAGTGTGCGGATCCTGTCTTTTTGATGGCGTGGTGCCAGCTGCCCTGGATTTCCGAGAAGGCGAGAGACGCGCGCTCACATACGGCGTGCACACGAGATGTGTAGTTGTCATTTTCATCAACTGGTATCATGGAAATTCCCCCACCCAAGCACCCGTGGCAAGTTCCCCCTGCAGACAGCCGTAACGTACTCGCATCAATGGTTCTGCAGGACAGAGCACAAACCCATTAGAAGCAGCACTAGTATCAGTGGTTCAGGACAGCTTTGAGTAAGACATAATTATTTATGATTATGTCCTTCCCTAACTCAGCCTCTTTGTCTTCTGCCTTTCCACAGAGGTGGGAACAGAGACTGCAAGAACAAAAGCTGCGAACGGCCCGCAGTAAGAACCAGAACGCAGGACGCAGCGGTCAGAGCGGAGCCCCAAAACCATCAACCAAGAACACCAGCCCGCTCGTCAGTGGCCCCAAAAAGGCCATTAAAATAAGAAATGGCCAGAAAGAAATCAACCCTAAAAAAGTATGAGTGTGAAATTTCCAAAAGGAAAGACTTTCCCTGCACGATGAGGGTCACGATCTGGCTTGGTCGGCATGTTTTATTAATCCAGCGCTCGTCGACTTAAAAACTCGTGGCAGTTTCTACATAGACGTTTTTGCTGCACTTTACTTTTAAGAGGTTTGCTTTTCCTTTCAAGCCACTGCAAGCCCTAGAGCGTAGGTTTGCACTAATATGTGGTAGGCATATTCAAGCTGACTGAGCTTTATCTTAGGGCTCTGATTTGCAATTCTAGATAGAACCAGCCTTGGCTGCCGAGAGGTTTTAACTCCTTGTGCCGGTTGCCTGCTCTGCTTCCCTGCCAGCGGTTGGAGAGCTGCATGGGGCATCTCTTCTCTCTTCAAAAAGTGCACGGGTGTAGTAGTCTGTGAGTTAGTTAGTCTGCGAGTTAGTGAATTAGTGGTGAGCTGAGAGCCACGGCAGCCGAGGAGCCGCAGAGGGATGGTAACCTCTGGCAGACATCTCGGGCAGCAACTACGGCAGCTGCTGGAGCTGAATCTATCCGCTCTTTGGAATCGCAGCCCTTGGTCAGAGCGTTCAAAAGCATAGTTTACCAATAAGCATCTGGGTACGCGTTATGTGATTATTTTTATGTGTGTGCCAAAAATATGCTTACGGTGTTAGTATTGGATCTTGTGGGTTTGTGTAGCAAAAATGCATTGAAAGCAGACATTTAATTTTTTTTATTGTACTTCAGGCTGGCTTCTGTTGTTACTATTTCAAATATATTTAAGCATCTAATTGAAAAGAATCAGTATTTTTTAAAAGGACAGATTAAAGTGAAGCAGATCTGCAGAATTTAAAATTAACACATTTGCTGTATGTAGCTTTGTTACGAAAAGTGGAATAGAAGCATTATTCTAAACATAACTGACAGATACTGTACAGTATTAAGGAGAAGATAGGGCTTCGTGTGACTCTGTTCATGTGGATAATTTTTTATCATTTGACACCGTATTTCTAAATCTTTCTCTGATACCAAATAAATAAATAAGTAAATAAATAAGGCTTCTCCCTATTCATGAACTTCTCAGGACAACTGGCTATCTGCAGTTTTGCCGATCAGAAGGTAACATTTAGCCTGCAAAGGGTCTCAGACAAAGCAGATGCTTTTATTTATGTACTAAGTTTTACTGACTTCTGGATAGCACAGTCTGATTTTTGTTAAGAAAGAAGAAGATCACCTACATTAAGACCGTAAAAGCTCATGATAGACATCTGAAAGACCTTCAAGAATTCCTACAGTGAAACTAAGGACTGGACTTGGCAATTCTGGTATCTATAGAACGAAATGAGCATTTCTAAAATAGACAGGGTCTACATCAGGAAAAAAAAAATAGTTCTGTGTAGGTTAACATAAGGAGTTACAATTGGTCATGTCAGTTTATTGGTCTTCGTCACTACAAGAATTCCAATGCAATTTGCATGCATGAAATTTGAGGCAGAATCTGCTGGGGAGATTTTGGTAGCAGCAGTAATATACTTGGTAATATGCCAACGCAAGCTGAAGACATAGATGCCAAGTTAGGAAGCTTGAAACAAAGGGACAGAGGTGTTACAGAAAAAGACAATAATAGGTGTAGGGTAGTTCAGGGGGGAAAAAACACCCCAGCCCTCCATGATCGTCGGTTGAGCTTTGAGCAGTAGGTTAAAATATGCGAAGGTCAGCGTTTGAGTGTAGCCCTTCCTGCTAATCCTGGGCAGACGCAGAACTTTATCTCCATGGAACGTCTGCAGAATTAGAGCCAAAATTCAATCCGGGTGCCAGGAATGCTGAGCATATATTGCATCTGTCGACTTCAGTGGGAATTATGTGCGTACGACATGTCTGGAAAAACAGACCACAAACTTATGTGCCTAAATGCAGACTACAGGTGAAATCTTCATCCTGTACAATGAAATGGAAAAACTGAAATCAAAGGAGACAGAATTTCACTGCAGGTGGCTAAATTAGGTGAGTTTGAAAATGCTGACTTAAGTAAGCATGATCTAAAAGATCACTATGATTGGAAAGCTTCTAAAATAGTTTTATCTACTGTGTAGCAGGAGTTCTTAAGCTTTGATTACCTGTTGCTCCCAATTTAAAGTACCCCAATAAACATGCATAAGGTTAGCTATTAAAAATGAACGACAGTCCTATCAATGTGATGTGGAAATAACAAATATCAAAGTTGCGATATTTCACTTTAAGAAGTTTTATTGTGAACGTAGTCAAGTGCGGTGTTTGTAGAATGAAACTTTTGGAACAACTAGCTAGACTTCATAGCAACATTACATGTTATTTTACAACTGTTAAAATCAAATTTTTTTCAATTTTTGACATCGGAGAAAAAGATGTAAAAATTATTTTCTCCAGAGAATTGTCACCCTTGCTTCTGTAAGTTACCATCGTTAGACTGACCATTCCACTATGTTGGAGTCAGCTTTGATGCACCGAGCCCCGTGTTTCCAAACTCCTTGACATTTTTATGTACGCTTTATGCTGACTAATTTTCATTCTGATGTGGTAAAAATGCAGAACAAGGAAAGGCAATACAACAAAGAGCAGTGGATATCGTAATACAGAGAAAAGATGTGCAGGCAGGGGGGATGAACTCATAAGGTCGTGTGTTTTCCCAGATCCATTTTTTTTTTTCTACTTCTGCTCCCTGGCATGTGGCAAAAAAATCAGACTCACCCCTCCCCATGCACATCCATGGCCAGGTGCGGTCATTGCTGTGTTCGTGCACCCCAGCACCGGGGGCATGGAACCTCCATTTAGCAGAGTGGGCAAATAGTTCGCTGATGGACAAAGGTAATTACTGTACCTATTTACAGCTGAAAAATTAACAGGCCAAAACTTGAAGTGTCAAATATTTTTTCTCGGTGTTACAGCTGCCTTCGTACTGAGGGGCTTGGCATTTTTTTCACATAAAATAAAAATTGCCTGGAGCACCGAACATATGCTTCTAGTGCGTTTCTTACTGCCTCCCACACACATGTGCCCGGTTTAGTAAGAACTGCCATTGAATATTTTCACTGAACGTTCTAACCTCAGTTCCAAAAGAATGAAACCTGAAAAAATATTTACCCTAATTGTGCATAATTGGCACCATTTTAGAAGCTCACTGTAAATGCAAATCAGAACTCTTTTATGAACCACATTTTTAAAAGAGCCATAAACTCCCCTCCAAGACCTGAATGACCCGGTCACTTTACTTCAATTCAGTGTTGAAACTTTGTTACTTTTGCCCACTCATTGCATATAACTGAGAAATACTTCCTGTACAAATAAAAAGAAGATTTTTGCAGTCCAAAATACTCAAACAGCTCTTAAATTATTTTTTCCGGCATTGTAACCTAGATTCCAAATGAATGAAACCTGAAAAAATATTTACTCCAATTATGCACAACCGACAGGCACTTTTTGGTTGCGCTTAGTCGTTGAATGTAGATGCACATCTGAAAACATTTCCTCAACCAGATTTTTCTGGTAAACCACATCAGCTCCAATTAATTTTGTAAATAAATATAAATCCATCACTATGAGTCAACAAACATTCAAAATTGTTTCCATTTATAGTAAAAAACTAATAACTTGCAAGTTATTAATTTCTGTAGAGGTACGTTACTTCTAATTAGACCAGGTCAAGGCTCTGTAGAAAAACCACATTCATTTTCAACTGTTGGCACTGTATTTCCTCTAACATCTCTGAAATTAAACACCAGCCTTCTTGGAAGGTGAAACAGCATTTCGAACCAGCTTGTTAGATATGCAGTAAATTCAGGGGGTTCCAGGTAATCTGTTAATATCAGGCCAGCTCCTGTTGTTCCTGCCAAAAGGCTTGTGGATAAACCGGTATGGCAATAAGCATAAAGGGAAACATCTGGAAGGGAGGACACACGCCTTTTCTCTAGATGAGAATACTAAGATCAGAACCCAAAAGTACCTTGAATATGGCAGACGGTCGATGTTACAGATAGAAGGTTAATGGATGCATCACAGTGATCAAGAGATGCCCCCAAAAGACCAACACCCTAAGTATTTTGATTCCTTCTGCTTACAGTATGATGAAAACTTCAGTTTGTAGATGCTCAGAGCACACCAATATTTATCCTCTGAGCAAGGTAATCAGAAAACTAATCATTTGCTCACCGAGAACTATGGATAAAGTGAACAGATACTTGCAAGGTCTGCCTTGCCAGCGCAGCTCCTTCAGTGGCCAGAGCCAAGGAAAACCAGTGCAGCGGTACACAACCACAGCCTGATTGACTCCATCTTCTTGGTGGGGAAAAAAGCTTTTCCCCCACTTCTCTTATTTTATTATGCAGTAATTCGGTACAAAAACTCACTACAATCAGACATACTAATTCTTCTTAAACAGTATTTTGAGATTTAGAACCAGCTTGTTTATCATTCTAAACTGAAACAGATCTTTAATATAGTCTTAGTGTCAGATTATGATTTCATTAAAGTTCCTAAACAAGGAAATATGTGGTCTGTTGTACAAATAAACATGCCCTGTGGTTCCATTTCTCTCCTGCTGGGACAAAAATCAGAAGAATATTAACGTTATCTTTTGTTAGTGTTGGAAGAATTTTTGTCACATCTCTGCACCACCTAATTCTGTGCTGAACC